GTTATTATCTTCATGCTGCTAACGGAACCGCACCACCAGAACCACACTGCTAACAGTACTATGGTGCTAACGGGACCATGTTGCTAAATGATAAATGGACTGTGCTTATGTATCGTTTTTCTATCTTATCAAGACACTCAAAGCTCTTTACAACACAATCTGTGCCTCATTTACCCGTTCATACAGCACTCTACGAGATCTATACAAAGAATAATCAGAGCTTTATCACATTCATACACTGATGGGACACGCATCAGAGGCAATGAGGGGTTCAGGGTCTTCCCAGGGACACTTTGGCATGTGACTGCTGGTGGAATCGAACCCCCAACTGTTGCATTGGAGGACGACTGCTCTAACCACTCCGCCACAGCCGCCCTATGAGAACCTCACTGCTAGCGGGACCAGGCTACTGTAGATTAGAGTTGCATTCAAGCCTAAAAAAATCTGATCCGACCTGGCCCCATCCTGCAGTCATTATTTCTGAACCCTACCCAACCCGATGAATTAACAGTAATTACAGGTCCAAACCCAGAAAAAAAACCCAACATTTTTAATTCGTTCTTAACAGTCGGGGACGCGCGGCTGAATTAAGGGGCAGAAGATCAGAGCTGAGGGGGTGTTTGCCATTTCATGGCCTTAAAACGGTATTTAAACCCTGTTTCTACCTGCATTCTGATTTATTCAGACACGGACCCTGCTCTGACACGTCTTCTTTGTGATCTCACTTGTTTGGGTCATCGGCCGCGCGCGTCCGCTGAGTGTAGCGGCTGAATGAGCGTCCATTTGGGCGATGGATCACTTCCTGGCAGTACAGTCCCATCTGAAGCTCAACTGAACTTTTGACCTCTTTCAAGGACGGTCAGCTTGCGGTGAAATGTCCGTGTGCAGCTGGTGAATGTATGGCAGGCCATGTTATCATATAATTGGATCGCAGCTGATCCTAACCTAATTAATTCCTGACACAGACCTGGCCCGCCCATCCAGCACATTATCATGGCCCGGCCTGCCCCGAATTTGGGTCGGGTGGGGCCAGGCTTAGGGCTCATGTTTGAAATGACAGCTCTACTGTAGATGTTTCTTTTTCACTTCTGGCTCCTTGTTCTTGTATTTCTGTTGCACGCTTTGTTTTTTGTTGCTTTTTTTGGCGAGTCAAGACGGTTCTTCTTGTCCTGAGCATTTTATTGCATTGACCTTGTGTTGACCTGCATACGACAATAAACTTAAACCCAAACACTGACTTTAAACTGAACCTCAGCTTTAAATTGTTCCAGTCCCCCCCCCCCCCCCCCATCTCATCTTACATGAAGAGTCCCTTTCTGGTAACATCAGTCAAGTTCCCTCCTTATAAGATTTTTTTGTCCCACATGAAAGATTTATGTGGAAATAAAAAGGTGAAGCACACATTTGGTGTAATTATATTTCTTGTAAGTGGAGTGGAACACGGGGGGTAAATAATACAGCAGTTAGTTCTAACAGTCAATATATTTTGAGATGTTACAGTAATAGTGAATTAGATCCCTGGTTTATGTTCATTCTGTGCAGAGGGAACTGCCCCCCTCCCCCACAGATGCGCACATCAGATCAGCTCTGCTGTCTGTGTGTCGACACGTCTTTGTTTCATGTTGGCCCGTCTCGTTCTGTGCAAGCTAAAGGAAGAGGAAGCAGGCACAGAGGATGTGAACATCAGGGTCGCCCTTCTGTAATTGACAACAAAGCAAAATGCGGAAAAGGTGGTGGTGGGCGGGGAGTGGGGGGCAGGGAGGTTATGCAACGGGTCCTTCCACTTGTCAGCATAGCTCTGGACTCGAGTGGTTCTTTAAAAATCAGGATTCACACATGGACAGCAGCTCAGTCGTTTTACACTGAGGATGAGCAAACCATCAGCTGGTGAAAACAGAATCTGGTTTGTTGGTTTCCAGTTTGCATCCTCAATACAGAACTGGATTGTTGTGTGTGTGTGATCTAAAAAAAAATGATTCTAAAGTTGCATTTTAGAAAATATACATTACACGCTGATGTTTTTTTCAGTAGCTTTATTGTTTTCAGAAAAGATGCATTCATCTTTTTCTCAAATTTTAAGAAATAAAACACGTATAAATAAATAACGGAACAGAAAATAACTGGTTCTTACCCCCAACAGCTTACGCCAAAGTGGAACAAACCAGTTATGTTGGTGCTAAGATGGTGTCTTTGGCACGCCCCCTCCTTTTGTGCCGGCCCTCTTCCTCGTCGACAGTCATGTCAAACTGGTTCAAAACCAAAAAAAGTCCTGGTAACATAACTGGTTTATTTCACTTTGGAGTAAGCTGTTTGGTGGAAGAATCAGTTTTGTGTTGTGTGTTTCCATGACTGATGAAGCCTTCTGGATCGAAGGTGAAACGTTTCAGCAAAAAAAAGAAACTGTCCAGATGACCTGACTGAAAAATGTTGGATTGTATACCTGGATTATTGAGCATGGACTTTTTTTGATTTCCTAATATTAGTTTAGAAATGTTTTATTTGATTTAAAATCAGGTCAAAATGGATTAAACTGTGTTGCATGTGTGTATAATTATTTTTCCTCAGCAAAAAATCCTGTTCTGTAGTTTCAGAAGTCTGAAAGTCCTAAAAGTAAGACCACTTCCTCAGAGGCCAAATCATCAGGCTGTGGTCAGGGGGTCCCCTCGGGGGTGACAGTGTTGTTACATTGTTTGGACGCCTCGTTAACCTCATGACCTTTGTTTACATGATGCAGACCAGAGCTGCACAATATGTAAACATCTATCGCATTATCAGTGTGCACAAAATCACTATTGCATTTTTTTAAGTGCAGACCCAGACTTCATAGAGAAAAATACATATTTGTACATCAGACCCCTTTTTGCTTTAAGCCTACAAGTTCTAGGTTCAGATCAAAGTGACAACCAGGCCTTCCATGTTGGAGAAAACGTCCTGCTGTTCGTCTCCCCTATGTCTTTAGGTTTCGGTTCTCGTTCTGCTCCAAATAACCCGATCTATAATTTATCTTCTAATTTTAGTCTTGCATATGGATTATTGAAACAGAACATCTTGGCAGTGGGACACATCAGGTTTTGTGCTGCATGCCGTCCTTGCCTTCAATAAGGTCACATGAGGTCTGGAGTCAGTAGTGACGATATCGAGTGACGAGTGAACTCAGACTTATTTCTTTCCCCTGTGAGACTAATGGTGCTGCCTGCAGACCTGATCCCTGCAGACAGGACCATATGACAAGTCTACGGTTGGTATCGGTGCTGGCTTGTTCTTCTGCGCAGCCGCAAGTATTAGTATTTGTTAGAAGTAGCTCTGTTTTAGGACACATTAAGTTTTTTATTTTTTCATTTTTTAACAAGGTCGGTATCTCTAATGATTTGTCTCCCCCTATTTTTACTCCAAGTTTTGTCTTTTGTTGTAACGTTAGGTTTTAGTTACCGTATTTTCCGCCGTATAAGTCGCATCAGTCCTAATATGTCTAATAAAGTGGAAAAAACATAAATGCATCGCTTCGCTGTATAAGTCGCATCTATTATGCGTCACCGCTGACGCGTCGCATTTGTTACACGTCACCACTGACAATCCAGAAACGTGGGCCGGTGTTGTGCCAAAAATCAATTGGCTGCCAAATGGTGGCCACAGGAGCGTGCACGGGACGACTTTAACAAGAATTTAACTAGATTAACACTTAAAAACTATTATTTGTTTGCTCGAAATCATAGTAAAAGTGTGTCTCAGTCTAACTTTTCCTTAATAAATGCACTTTGACGGTCAAATCAGTTGCATTTCAAAAGACGATTCACAGAAGCGGGAGCGCGCAGAGGAATGACTCGCTGTGCATTTCTTCGAAATTTAACAAGATAAGCACCTAAAAACATTTATGTTTGTGCATGGATTTATAGTAAAAGTGTGTCTCAGTCTAACTTTTCCTTAATAAATGCACTTTAATGGTCAAATCGGCTGCATTTTGCCTGAGCGGCACGGCCAAATGAAGCTGATTTGACGTTTGCTCCAGGAGTTCTGGAGCGAGACAACGCTGGTCGGTATGGCAAGCCAAGTGGCTCATTGTTGCTCCCCGGGTGCTTTCCACAGCTGCCCACTGCTCCACCTGGTTGTGGATGGGTTAAAAGCAGAAAGCCAATTTCGCCGTTGTATGGGAACATACAGTGATGACAACACATAACATAACACATCACTTTTATCTATTAATGAGACACATGGCTTGCCATATTAGTCGAAGGCCCTCTAGTGGCTGAAAATGGTAGTGTTCAATATTTTCCATGTCAGAATGAATGAAATCGTCAGATCTCAGACAAAAATTGGGCTATAAATATGGGAAAAAATAAACATAAATATGTCGCTTCACTATATATGTTGCAGGCGTGCTAATTTATGCAGAAAAACTGCAACTTATACACCAGAAATTACGGTATTCTGAAACAAGCCGACCAAAACCAAACTACTATTGTGTTCTATGTGTTTTTATTGTTATCAGTGTAGTTAAAAATAGAAATTCATGCTCCTGGTTAAAAACGCAAACCTAATGCCATGCTGTGATGCGTTCACCTTTTAATTAAGGCACTTTTTTTTTTTTTAAATCAACAGGGCTTAAGGTTAAATCATCAATAATTATGTGATATTTCCTAAATAGTTTTGATTGAATCAAATCTGTTCTGTCCTCCTGTTTGTGTGCAACGGATTAAAAAGCAATCGTATAATTTCCTCTGTCTCAAATTGTGCGTTCAAAATCAACAGCCATCAGTAAGACATTGTTTTACAAATAACTGTGATTACCCTTTTCAAAGAGGTTTACCTACCGGGGAATGGACAAAGGACGCACTCTTCTGCGGGAGCCTCAGATTATTAGGTTTGCCTGTAGAGGAGCAAAGTGGGCTGCAGCCACCCACACAGTCCTGCAAATCTTCTCTTGTGCTGTCTTTTTGTCTCTTTCCTACACAGACATGTGCTGTCATAAACACTCATTGTTCTCACGTCTGCTTTCTTGACAGAATGGGCAGAGCACTGCTGAGGATGGAGTCACAACTGCTGTCAAGGTACGTGAAATCGCCACAACGCTGACACGCAGACAAAAGACGCGCAACGTGACTAAGACTTGGTCACACCTGTGTTTAACTCGTGTGCTCTTCCGCGATGGCGAGCACCTGAAAGTGAACTTTTTTTTAAATTGTTAATTATCCTGTTTGAGCCATTTTTGTGACTACGAGATGTCAGCTGCTCACCAGTGCGAGCCCTGCTGTTGCTGGATTCGTGCAGGAGTCGGTGGCGGTCCTCAGGGAATCAGCCAGCTACTGTTTAATGTATTGAACAGTGTCTGAGTGGAGCTGATCGGGCTGCTCCCTGCACCATTATGTGTTTACATCAAAGCAGAAAGGCAATAATAATTAAACAGCGTGTCGACGTCTGACCTGCTTACAGGCAACAAATCATGCAGTGAAAAACATGTACCACCTAGCTCTTACAGAGTCGCATTAAAAATCCGTCTTCCGCTCCAGTTTGGCCTCTTTGCCTTTTCATCCAAGCTTGAAACTGATTCCAGTCTCCTGAACTCCGTTGCTGTCCAGTCATGCAGCAGAGGGAAGGGGGAACGCTCCTTCGCTCGCAGCCTCCTTTTTTCTGGCCTTGTTCTCGAGGGAGAAGTGTCTGAAGAGCATGCCATCTCGTCTTTCTGCTCCCAACAATGCGCTGTGACTGAAATGGAGCTGAGCGCACTGGAAAAGGGGAAAGGACACAATATTTCAGTCAGAAAGAAAAGTTTCAGTGGTAATGATGAGATAAATGCTCTGGTGCTTTTAGGTTGCATCTCACAACTGCTGGAGACGTTGGTGACACAAAATAATTATGAAAAAAGGCAATTTTTTTTTTGTTTCAATCTCATTTATTTCAGACAGTTTGAAACTAAGTGGCCATAGAGCCGCAGGGCCATGTTTTGATTGACAGGTGAAAAAAAATGACTGGTTTACTGTAAACTCCTAGCACATCATAAGTACCTTCTTTCTCCAGAATAGAATTTGGTACCACTTTACAATAAGGCTCCCCTTATAGATGCTAATAAATAGTTTATAGATAAGTTATCAGTTCATCTATTAACACGTGATAAATCATTAATAACTGCTTATTATGCATTAATTAAGGGTGACGGAGACAAAACTGACCAGTTTGTTGCCAAATAGTGATTCAAATCTGTTCACATATACATTTCATCTAGAGTTGTTATATTAAACATTTCAGACTAAGTTACTACCTTGTAAGCAGAATAACATTTGTAAACCTATATTTTTTAGGATATAATATTAGGGATGCATGATATTATTGGTGTGGTATCGGTATCGGCCGATATTAGCGATAAAGTTAAATATGGGCCATTCCATCAAAATAACTCACCGATATAAAAGGCGCTGTTTTTGTATGACATCCCAGTGACAAGGATGCCTGCACATAGCAGAACTCATAGATTTGAGTTGATCTTTAAGATTAAATTAAAAATTAACTTAAAACAGAAGCCCAATATGTGGTTATACAGTTTTGAGTTAATTTTTAATTTAAGAAACTGTCAAGTATATTTATTATTGCACTACTACTTATGCACTTTTCACTTGTCGCTTGTGAACAGGTTGAGTTTAGAATTGTGAAAATGTACAAATTTACTCTGTTTTAGTGTTGTCATTGTTTTAGAGAGTACATGTCATGAATAAATTTGACATTAAACATAATCCAAGTTGAAGCGTTGCATCATTTTCAGCCCCTTTTTGGCATCTGCACTTGGTAGTAGGCCCAAGTGACAAAGACCATGCAGAATAATGTAGTATTTTAATTCCACAGCAGAGAAAGCTGTGTAGTCTCTGTAAGTAGGTGTCGGGGAAAAAATATTGGTATCGGATATCGGCCAAATAAGTTTTAACATATTGGTATATCGAATATCACTATATAAGATCACTATATGGCAAGAAACTGGTCAGTTTTGTCTCTGTCACCCTTAATTAATGCATAATAAACAATTATTAATGATTTATAAAGTGTTTATAGAGGAAATAATAACATATCTATAAACTATTTATTAGCCAATCTGTAAGGGGAGCCTTATTGTAAAGTGGTACCCAGAAGTTACTATGCCAATCTTACTTATGCTCCAGTTTATAAACTATAGGTTTTAACGGGTTCTCTCACAGTTGATCAAACTTTCCAAACTAAGGAACGCATTTTTAGGAGGGTTTTTACGAGTAAATGTTAATGTAGAAAATGTGACCGTACATAATAAGATCATGTTTAGTGATTTACAGTTTGTATATAATACTGTGTACCGTATTTTCCAGCGTATAAGTCGCTCCGGAGTATTTTCATTCAACTTTTATTTATGCAGGCTAGCCTCATTGAGCCACTGGGACTCATTTACAAGAGAGACCTGTTCCAGACAGAACATATAAAGTACAGACAACAATAACAAAAAACTACAGTTAGAAAAAAAAAGTATAAGTCGCATTTATTATGCATCACCACTGACCCGCTGTTTATTATGCATTTATTTAATGGTCAAAACAGCTTTGTTTCACCTGGGCAGTACGGATCCATCCATCCATCCATCCATACATACATACATCCATACATCCATACATCCATACATCCATACATCCATCCATACATCCATCCATACATCCATACATCCATCCATACATCCATACATCCATCCATACATCCATCCATACATCCATACATCCATCCATACATCCATCCATACATCCATACATCCATCCATACATCCATACATCCATCCATACATCCATACATCCATCCATCCATCCATACATACATACATACATACATACATACATACATACATACATACATACATCCATACATCCATACATCCATCCATACATCCATACATCCATACATCCATACATCCATACATCCATCCATACATCCATACATCCATACATACATACATACATACATACATACATACATACATACATACAT